AAACTGGTTTCTCCAGAGCCTCTGTGTTGTGTCTCAGACAGCCACAAAAGTGCAAGAAACCTAACCAGACACTTCCTTACATACTGGGACTACCTTCACTATAGAAAGCCACCTAGAGATGAAAAGCATGGCAAGTCTTATAAACAAAGTTCTATGGGCTAGTGGAAATCTCCTGTCATATCACCCCTATACAGCATCTTGAAATTAAAACATGAAATTCAAACTATAAGTAAATAACTCATGCTACCACAGATCCTCTTGTAGATTGCAGAAAGAGAGTGAACAAAAGTAATCTTTGCAATTTATGTATTCAGGCTTGAGAAAGGGAACTTGCTAGCTGGAAGACATACCGTGCATTTCAAACTTTGATCAATAACCAGTGTCTGCAATTTAGACTTCCCTAGTCTTCTGCCAATTATATCCACCCTGTTTCTAGGAAATATGGACTGATTATGCCAGATCTGGTTTTGGGCTTCATTGGGCACAGCCTTTCTTTACTTCACTTTTTGTCTCAAAATGAGATAGGATGGGGACACTGCCAAACATCCTTCTTGGAAGTTGGATGACATTGTTTCTTTTACTCATTCTAGCTAATTTTAATGTTGCAGTTTGCAAAATAAAAGGACCAAGAGCAGTTTGTGACTTAGTCAACTGACAATACTCCTGATCTCTGGACATAACTTTATAAGCAGTTATCTGATAGCATTGTTAAAATTCAGTTGTGTTGATGGAGGGAGACTAACTTCAATAGTTAAAGAGAATTAACACTTTTACATCTTAATCTGCCAAAAAAAAAAAAAAAAGCAGTTCAAGTGTACAAAGTCATTCACATTACTAAACCAGATCATCAAGAACAGCTATAATACCCAAAAATGTTAAGTGATGGACACATTAGAAAGCATACTGAAGAGTAGTCTGCAAGTTACCGAGTGAAAATTTACATTTTCTGTTTCTGTACACTACCCCACTGTAGTCAGATGGTTAGCTACTAAGCTCCACACCACTCTTTTACCAGTCACTTGCTGAATATGTTGATTTGGAAAATCCTTATTAGGATTCTGGCCTGAATCACTCTCTATCAGACTGGATGGAAGATCGCACATACTCCAGAGGCAAATATCTTTGCCCACAGACTCCTCAGCTGCATAGGCTCAAACTTCCGTAGCCTGAACAGAGTTAACAAGAGTCTGCTGCAGTGACAGTAGAATGCAACAAAGCTGTGCCTGATAGGTTGCAAGGACCCTCAGACCTCTCATGTCAAAGTGCAGGCCACTGTCATGTGTGCTACAGGAGAAAAGTAGCTAGAAACACAGACAAGGTATTTTCCCCTAGTGAAACAAGCAGCAAGAGAATCTGCACATGTAATGCCTGTATTTTGGACTGTTCATTAAAACATAAGCAGAGACATTCCCTCCAGGAACATTCTTTAAATGATGCTTCCTTCAGTTAGCAGTCTCTTGCATTTTGCTTCTCTACAGTGTAAGAAACCAGCTTGATATTTCCTGCCACGTGCCAGACAGCAAGAGACAGAGAAGCAGTGACTGAGAAGATTAGGACAACTCAGGGAACATGCTCCTTCTCCCAAGCCTCTTCTTTGCACACTGTCATTAGTGAGGTTGAGTAGGAACCACACACAACTATTTGGCAGGTGTTTCCAGTGTCAGGATTTCTGTGTTTTCTCAGGTATCGCATCACCTTACTAGGCAAAGATGGCTGATATCGATAGGCAATGACTAGGCTCAGCACCTTGTTCATGATATTCCTGTCTAGGGAACAACAGGGTGTTGAAGAGTGGCTGGGCTGATTTCATGCCTTATGTCAAGAAACCTAAGCTCTTCATCCAACTGTTTCTTTATTATTATTTTTATAGAACTGCAGGTCTGTTCATGCTCCATTCTACAGTACAGAGAGTTTTCTCAACTTTCAGTTTGTCACTTTCTAAGACATTTGCCATTTGTGGCTGTTTGTGTCAGGCTCTATCACTGGGAGCTTTACATTGCACTAACCATAACTGGTGCGGACTGCAGGGGATGCATCCAAAACTCAGGACTGGGTTTTCTCAAACCAGTACAATAGATGGAAATAGTTAAATCATGGCGGTGGACACAGGAAAGGGAGGGAGCTTAGGCACAGAATTTGATTGGTAACTAAGAAAAATAAGCTATAAGCCCAGGGAAGAAATATCTCAGGCATTGTGGATTACAGTGTTGGAATAAATCTATTGCTAATACTTCATAAGCAAGAATCAGTTCCCCTCTGGTTTGTGTATCACTTGTGAACTCTTCACACACTCTACGCTTTAAGAAAAAAAAATAATGGAAGGTAATTAGTCACTCTGAATGTTAATTGCTGAGCCTGCAAAGAGAAACTCCAGAATCATATTCCCACATCTGATTAGTCAGCCTTTGAAAGCAAATGTGACATATTTATACAACAAGCACATGAGGAATGGAGGAGAAACTATCAAGCAAGCAAGTTATGTAATTTGTTATTTGTAACTTCTACTAACCTTTTGCGCATCTTGAATCTTTTCTGATATAAAGTCAGCAGCTTTCCTAGGAATCCAAGCCTTCTCTCATGCCCTGTTTATAAACTCTGCATCCTCCAAATTATTAACCAACAATATTTTTACTATTTCAATTTTATGAAAACAGAAGAAAGGATTCATATAAATCACTGAGGAGAATACAGGACACAGGAAGAGGGAGACGGACAGGAAAATTGATTTAAAGCATGATTCATCCCCCGAGGCCATTGTTGTCATCAAGGGATAAATCAGAGACTGGCCTTGCTCATGATCAGCAGCATCAGTTTCACCTTGTGATACTTAACTCACCATCAAGATCAGCTGTGCCATGATAATGACTGCTCCATTCTGTTACTGCATCTCTTGTACTGTTGCTTAATGGTTTCTTTGCCTTTAAGGTGAGGTAGTATGTGCTTTTTGTTTCCAGCCTAAGAGCTTGTAATACAAGTGAAACGTGTCAAATAATTGGACTAAGTTTCCCAGACCAGTGGAGGAAAAATATTGTTCTGTTTTTGTTAATTTTATGCTTTTCTCTTTACCACTAATTACTGCCTGGATACTGGAACCCAGAAGTAGCCTATTGAATCCTGCTCAATGGAGTCAGAAAGTTTCCTAGAGACAAAATGAACAATATATCGGTTTATATTAATGTCAAACCCTGCTAATTGAAACTAAAAATTCTTTCCCAAAATCTCTTGAAATTGACTCAAAATCATGAGGTACTTTAAATGATAAATTTAGCAATTTAGTTCCATGTGTCCATTTGCTTTCTAATATTCTTAGCAATGGGATTAAAGCTTTCCAGCTCTTTACTGCTAGTGAATTGCTTTGACAAACAAAATATGCTAAAACCTGAGTATACTCTAGGAGTTTGGGTTTGAAGGGGAAAAACAGCTACAATAACATAAAAGTTATAATAACACAGCTTGATCTGGAAGCCCCAAGTTCTCAGTGATTTTCCCTTCAGTGGCCAGTATGTCTAGCCCTAATTAATACCGTCCTTCAAATTAGGCTATATGGCATTTTTCACAGTCTCAAAAGCAATAAAAAAACCTGCAAAGTTTGCCCCAGATCCTGCCTCTGTGCGGCCCTTGAAAAAAACTTTTACGTAGTTTGTCCTCTGTAGAGTACTTTTATGAGTGTCAGGAAAATTTCAGGTATCCTACATAGGTATGCACAGACATAAATACGCATACATGTGTAAGCATATATATACATTCACATTACAGAAGGGTCCCAATACAAATGGGGATGAGCTGATCTTAATTTAATTCAAATAAATAGAAAAAGTCATTGATAGTACTGGCAACACGTCACTCACAGCAAAAATATAGCATTACTGCCTGGTTAGTAAAATGGTGACTTTGCTACCTCAGATGCATGCAATCAGTCACTGTAGCTCATATCTACGCTGTGCCCTTCTGCTTTTTCATTCACACATATGCACTCATGAACTGTAGTGACCACTCTGACTAGGAATCACAGAATCATAGAATCATTTAGGTTGGAAAAGACCTTTAAGATCATTGAGTCCAACCAGTAACCTAGCACTGCCAAGTCCACCACTAAACCATGTCCCTAAGCACCACGTCTACACGTCTTTTAAATACCTCCAGGGATGGTGACTCCACCACTTCCCTGGGCAGCCTGTTCCAATGCTTGACAACCCTTTCAGTGAAGAAATATTTCCTAATACCCAATCTAAACTTCCCCTGGCACAACTTGAGGCCATTTCCTCTCGTCCTACCGCTTGTTACTTGGGAGAAGAGACCAACACCCACCTTGCTACAACCTCCTTTCAGGTAGTTGCAGAGAGCATTAACGTCTCCCCTCAGCCTCCTTTTCTCCAGGCTAACAACCCTGTTTCCCTCAGCTGCTCCTCATAAGACTTGTACTCTAGAGAGTCTCTAGTCTCTAATCCCTCTTCACAGTGACAGGAAAGTGAAAACACAACTGTGCTGAGACCAAAGGCTCCTCCTACATCAGCAGTTCCGTTACTGCCAGCTGGATGGCAAATAAGAACATCATAAAGTAAACTTTTTTTACAGTAGAAAATCCCATCCGGTTAGAGTTCAGAGCACAGCCATATATTGAAATCACATCTAAATTAACAAAGGTTCCATTATCTCTTAACCAGGAAATAATAACTGAGAGTCAAACTGCCATTTGCTATATGTATAGGTAAAAGTGCAAAGCATGAGTATCTGTTGCCACTTAGACTTTGTAAGACATTTAAAGTATAAATTGCCTAACAACAATCTAACCGGGAGAAATATTCTCTTCTAGTTCTCTAATAAAACTAGGTTAAAATTAACAGCCTGAACAGATTGTTACAAAATATATGGAGCAGAAAAAAATTCAGTCAAACTGAAAATTCAGAAGATTAACTCATATGCTTCAGTGATCTTCTCAAACCAGAGTAAATTTAAATTCCAGTGCTGCATTTAACTACATGTCTACGATGTTTGGCGATATGGGAGCAGTTGCTGGATGTAAACTTCCTGACAGTTAGCATGTTTTTGTTCTGCTCCCATAGACAGGTCAGAACTGTGTTTCAGTCAGGTTTCCTGACAGAGTGGGGTCCTGAGAACACTGGAGCCATAGCCTGCTAGCAGAAAGATCAAAATATGTATTGACTAGGTACTTAAACATGTTATTCTACGTAAGAGATACCCCTTTCATAGTAAGCATATCAGTAGATCACACTGGTGGCATTAGCTATAGAGAAAACATTAAAAACGTACAGTTTCCATTTAGCCTTAGGGATAACTTTCCCCTTTCCTTCTTCTTCTCGAGTATCTATTTCTCTTCCAGGAAATTACATTCCATGAATGATTATCTTATTATCTCTGGGTCCCAACTGTTACTGATATTTTTTGCAGGATAAATAGGATCAATAAATGTTAAATATGATCATGGAACTTTAAAGGAGAAATTTGAAAAAATAACAGGATGCATGCACATGGCACAGAAGACTGCACCTGGTATGCACAGGAGCACGCAAAACCACTTTTTTGGTGTGCAAATCCCAGGACTAGATTTTTATTCTGTGTTCTTGTCCCTTAACATTTGTAAGAGTCAAACTGACTTTGGTAGCCAGGGCTTTAACTATTTTCACTCCAGATGCACGAGTGAGATTTTTTTCCAAATCTTGTTGAAACTTAAAGAACTTCCCCAGAACAGAGCTGAACATACCTGAAGACTGTTTTAAAATGACTGCAGTGTGCGTGAGAACGGGCAGGCCTGGTCGCGTGCCACGCCGGGTGGGAGTCTGAAAGTGCAGGCTAAGCATGCTTCTGCCGCGCACGACAGGCAGAGCTGGAGCGCCTTGCAGCCTTTCGTGAATGAACTCCGGGAGGCGTTTTTTATGAATGGGAGCTCCGTCATGAATGAACACGGGAGTACTGCTATCTGATTGGCCCTGAAGGCTAAAGCTACTCCCACTCCTCGCTGGGTGAGGGCCAAAAAGAGCTGGGATTGGCAGGCGTGTCCCAACCCGGAGCTTCATTCACAAATTCAACGAAACAAAGG